CTCAAATTTAACCGATCTAAAGATCGCATAAGCAATCGGAAAATATGTTCCACGGCTTACCTACATGGACAAAGTAACTAATATAGTTGTCGGATGGATCTGATGCATTGAAATTTTATTACTGTGGTTACTTTTTAGGGTTCCGTACCTCATAGGAAAAAAACGGAACCCTCATAAGATCACTTTGTTGTCCGTCCGTCAAGACCCTTTTTTTCTTATAATGTAACTATTGTTAGGAAGAAAATCTGTAGGTGTACTGACGCAACACTAGCCTTACTAAAATGTCGACGTTTATGTCCCCTCACTAATCATTCTGACACTTGACTTTGTAATGAAAGCACATTATTCGCGCCAAAGGATTTAATTTCATCATCATCAGCTCACTATACGTCCCCACCGAGGGGCTCTGACCCTACCCTAAGTTAAGGGTGATTAGGCCATAGTCAACCACGCTGGCCAATTGCGGGTTGGTTGACTTCACACATTGGTTGCATCACGATGTTTTCCTTCACAGTAAGAACGTCGGATAAATGTACATATGTAAATCGGAAATCGAAAAACACATTGGTACATGGCGGGATTGGAACCCAGGACCTGCAGATTGCAAGTCAAGTGCTTGACCACTGAGCCACCGACGCTCGATTTAATTTAGTAATGTCTAAAACTATATACTAAAGTAAAATATAAAAAATGTAGCAATAATCTATATCTATTTATACTTTTATATACGTCACATAAAGTGGGCGTATTCGCTTCAAGTTACATTATCTGTGTATTGTGTGTTGTACATTCTAACAATAAGGTCATTGAAAACAGATTATGAAACTTATTGTCGATTTAAAATATATTTTTTTATTTTTTAATCCACGAAGAATAACGCAGGTGTAACCCAGAAAGGCGAAGGCAAGAGGAAGTATTTTCCTAGAGTCATGCAGAAACCACGATGCAAAGGGTTCCGGTGCGTTCCTTTGGAGATCCCGGGATCCTCGCAGTCGCACTTGGGTTGGCCAAGAGGGGGTTTTAGTGAGTAAGAATAATAAAAACATATTCCTGTTTTTTTCCCCAAAAGACAGGTCATCTTGCCAAGATTTCCCCTCGATAAAGAAGGTGTACCCAGAAATGATTCTATGACATTAAAGTTAGCTATAAAAGCTATTTTTATTTTGATATGTACATAACCTACCGCTCTCCGTTTTGTTATATTACGATTTCTTGAATTAAATGCGTTTTATAAACTTCTTAAATACCTCATAATAAGAAAAACAACATTGTTCTGTATATATTTATATCCAAATCAATTCAAATTGTATTAGAAGTAATCCTATATGTATATATATATATATATAAGTCAAAGTTTCAAGAGATATTTTCTATATTATAGAGTATCTTGTCTTTGAGATAACAAAATGAACATAAGTTAAACAAAACAATGGAAGCCACTGACTCCATTGACTGCTCACTGCTTTGTAAAACTATCAAGATGTTCAGATAAAAGGGCAATAAAACATTCACAAACAAAAGATTACTAAATAATGCATTTGCAATCGTAACCTCCATACAAATGTAGAGTTTTACCTACAAAATGTAAGAATTTATTTCCATTTTTGTGTTAACTGCACACACAACTGCATTTGAATCGCTAGAGATTTTAGTACGAGACTTTTAAACTTCTTCTTGTGCGTGGTGGTGGTGCCTCTCCGACTAACGAAGGTTAACGATCAGTTCTCTAGACGTCAGTTTACCATTTCTACACTAAAGGTCTAACAATAAAGAAACATGTCATCTTTTCAAATTATAGCTATTTAATTATTTTTTTTTATAGGAGAAAGGGGCAAACGAGCAACGATTCGCCTAATATTTTATTATTTGATCCGACGCTCATGGACATCCGCAACGCCAGAGGAACCGCAGATGCATTGCCGGCCTTTAAGGAAAGTGTACGCTCTTTTCTTGAAGGCCCCTAAGTCGTAACTCTTTGGAAATACCGCTGAGGACAGGGTGTTCCACAACGCGGCTGTGCGAGGTAATTAATACACAAATCAAAATAATTTTACGATCACTAGGAAATGTTGACATATTAATAAATATATCTTTATCAGGTAATTTCATAAAGACAATAATTATATACTTTTTTAAATTCCAAAAAAAAAAATATTTACCTAACAAAGATTTAAAAAATATTAAAAAAAACTATATTTTTGGGGTAATACAATGTCTTCTCTATTATAAAGTAACAAACTATTAGTGCGGCAGTGAGATTCTATGTAGAATTAAAAATATTAAACCTAAAAAAAAAACAAGAAAAATATTATAATAGTTATTAAATATCGTGAGAAATAACTTTCGAAGCTTCATGCTTATGTTACATAAAATTATCTACATTCCAATGTAATAAAAGAAATGAGAAATACAATATCTGTTTTTAATCATCGAAGTAATAAAAATTAACAGACGCAATAACATATATGTAGAAATAATTGCACATCTGGCAGATAGAAACCAGAATTTTCTTCGCCAAATTCATTTGAACTGAGAAGCTTTCTCGTAATAGAATTAATTTATTTGATATTAAGAAAGTAAAAGTGTTAATCAATAACAAGACAAACTATTACTCTTACTTCTTAAAAAAAAAACAGTGAGACATATTACTTGCAACACTTTTTTAAACCTTTGACCGCCGGTGTTCGATATTTTGGACATCACCAAGGTTATATAAGAGTATGTTTTACTCTTAAATAACATATTAAAACGAATAATTAATTAAAATATATTATTAAAAGGAGTCCCTTTAGGCAAGGTTCCGAAGATACTGGCAGCGTTCCCCATTTGAATACCTATACTAATTCTTTGTCCAAGGTACTCTTAAATATGTATCACCAAAACTTATTCTATACCATTTCGATAATTACAAGCGCATGGCTTCAACCATTATCTACAATAATGAACTAAGCAGATTTAACGAGTTTACTTTCACATGCAAAATTATCTAAAACGCAAGAGAATGGCCACGCCAATCATCTAAAGCACGTAACAAACAATATAACAGACATTTTATGATGTTCATTGTAAGACTTCATAGTATTTTGAAGTGAACTATGGTCAGAAAATTTAACCTTTTAGAAGCCTTTCAAAAGCGGCCATTTAACGTCAGGAAATTAGTTTTTTTTTGGCCATAAACGTCAGGAAATTGTTAAAAACTAATTTTACCATTCAGAAAAAAACAAGTAACACAACTAAACAAGCAAGAGCGACTCTAGCCATAGACAAAAAAAGTAACGTAATTGGCAATAAAATTAATAGTATCATAGCTCTAGGCATAGACATCCTGACCTATTGTGCTTTCGTTAGTTCGTGAGTATTACAGTACAAGTGCCCACTTCCTTATTAGACTCTCGCTGACGATCCGTTTGTACTTTCCCTTCTACATTTGTCTTTGATTTCGTCACACCAAGGTTTGTTTTGTAATATGGGGACCAAAGAGTAAATATAGAACAGACTTCTATATTTATGGTACATAATAAGATATTCTGACAAACCATAGACATAAAATGTAATGCAATTCAATGAAATTAGTAACAGTTTAAAATAAAAAACATTTATTACAATCAGTGATCCGATACTCCGCCGGCCCTTTCATTCCTTCCATGGATAATTTAATTATTTAGTTGCGTTTCAATATTATGAATTATCTGTACAAAAACAGAGATTCGGTTGATAATCCGTTTACGTAACATTGGTTAATTTAAAAAGAAAAAGGGTCTTGACAGATAGACGGACGGACAAGGGTTCCGTTTTTTTCCCTACAAGGTACAGAACCCTGAAAACCAGGAATTCCATCCTCAACAACTTTTAAAGTAGTCCTTCGTGTAGTTTAGTAAAGAAAACTACTCTATGAGACTATCTTAGAGTTCAATTAACAACTCCGAGTACGCCGATGTCGTCTTCTTAGTTTGTATAGAATCCATTGGTGGATCGTGTGATGTAGGCAGTGTGTCGTGACAGCGAGGAATGGTGCACGAGAAAGCGTAAAGACGAGCACTGGACCGCGACCACTCAGACGATGAACAATACCGTATTGTTGGTACACACATGTACACGTTTCGGATGTAATTAGGACCGGCATACACGGATTTAAGCAGACAAGTCGACAGATAGCTTAAAGCATCGGTCTACTGCTGCTGTCCACTGAAGGTGCGTGAGTAGAGGCCCTTAGTGATGTCAACTATCAATAAAAGTGTATCTCAAACTTGACTTTTCACAGTTTGATTTATCGTAGACGGCGACATAATAACATGCACTATCCAAGCCCATGCGATTGTTTTTAACACGTTGCTTGCCACCCTCCCACAGAGTACACTTTCGTAAGTAGACATTATCAGCATTGGACGTTTTAAATTAATTACTACTTTTACTTGTTAAGAAATAAAAAAGTAGTACTATTTTGAATAACAATACGTTCTCATTCTGTCATTTGTATTGCTTACGAAATGCACTCAAAAGGAATGACCAAATCGGTTCTACATGTTTTATTTAGCGCATGAACTGGTTACACATTCAATTATTTGCATTTAAAATATGCATTTTGCAATTGTAACTTATATTGTCGTCTCTATTCTCTCAAAGAGAATGAAAGAGTAGACAAATGTATAAATAAGTGTGATAAAATACGTATAAATATTACAATAAATATATATATATATATATTTTGTTTTGGCGCAAATGACGTGCTTTCGTTACAAAGTCCAGTGTCAGAATGAATAGTGAGGGGACATAAACATCGACATTTTAGTAAGGCTAGTGTTGAGTACACTGGCTCATTTCCGGATTTTTTGTTAATAATCGAGTTACTACTACTATTTTGGTATTTATTTCGGTTGCGGGAGCGTCCTGGATGCGGGTGGCACAAGATCGGTCATCGTGGCGATCTTTGGAGGAGGCCTATGCCCAGCAATGGGCGTCTCATGGCTGAGTAGATAGATAGATAGAATCGAGTTACTTACCTAAATTATTGCATAATCCATTTAAAACATCTGTAACAAAAAAAAATATATTAACAATATATTTTTTTAGTAAAATATGGCATACTAGCAAGGGGCCATTTGAATTCGCCATAAAATGAGGTGACCGTTGCTCAAAGACATCTGCATTTGGAATTGCATTGTCTTCCATTAATCGACAGAGAAGGGGACTGGCAGAAAGTAGATATTTCTTCTTCCTAAGCGTCCCTTAGCAAATTTTTCTTTTCTCAATTCTTCTTTATAAGAAGCTTGCGAGTTGCAGATTCGGAGCTATGATCTTATTTCTATGGATAACAATATTGCAACTTAAAAAAGCAACTTTGTAAGTAAATTTTCATATTTTAGATATGAAAAAATTGATAACAAAGTTATTCCAACAATCTTTTAAACATCGCGTGCAATTAATTGTAGGACAATAAACTGAATAAAGATAATAAATGTATCTACTATACTTTCCTAATATCGATGGTAGTTCAAACAACACACTAATTAATCAAATGTAAACTCTATTTTGTATGATATAGAATTCTTTTTTGCTACTTCGACCAGGTTATATGGACGCTTGGGTCAGTTGGGGTGAGTGACATTTATTGAAAAGTGTAAAGCAAATTGCTATGGAGGCAGTTCATAAAAATGTTGGTTTTCACGTGCTTTTAATAGTAGCGTAGATTAATAAAATTATTACCTGGATTTCTATCTATTAAATAGTATTTTTATTACTCTGTGCGATTGTTTTGATTTTGATATTATTTTATAATATTTGATAGAAAAAAAACTAATTTAAAGAGACAAAAAATTGCTTGATTAATATTGACGATAAGAAATCTTCACTAAGCTGCTGTTTAATTATAAAACGACTAGTAACTGTCATGCTATACTTAAGCAGTTTCTAATTGTAGTAAATCACATTAAGGGGCGCACTTAGTAACCACTTAACAACTGAGTATTGGTTTCTGATACCTAAAACCTCGTTTAAAACATATTGATATCTCTGTTTTGTTAAAGGTTGACAGGGATAACGATATGTTTTATACAGAGATATTGGTCTCAGAAACCAACGCTAAGTGTGGCAGTTAAGTGTGACAATTTCATCATATATATAAAATTCTCGTCATAATGTTAGTTACCATTATTCCGAAACGACTAGACCTATTTTTATAAAATTTTATATTCATATTCTGAGAATCTAAGTTTTTAACATCGCGCGGAGTCGCGGGCGACAGCTAGTAAGACGTATAAACAGTACATATCATGTTCATTGTTCCCCGATTACACCAAAACCTTGTACTGATAAAGAAAATTATTCATAAACATTTAAAAACAATAATACTTATGTTTTCTCAGTGGCTGTAACGAAATTAGTGGGCTTCAGTATACTGTGACCAATACACGCTCCACTGATGTCGAATCCGAATTTACACTATTCCACATAGCACAACACAATAGACTATCACATAAACATTTTGAACTTTATCACTATGGAATTAAGATTGAAATTCATTTGATATTCATAACGCAAATCGTACTTATTTTGACATCGATTGTTGACGACTCTTTTCAAATATTTAGTAAATATCGATTATTTCAATAAAACCAAAAACAAAAGAGATATTTTTGAATGGTTTTGCGCGGGTTTATTGTTCTCTATGATAATATACAGTCCTAACATCATCGGAATAATTTAATGAATGTTTTGAAGTTTTTACGATTTTTACACATTCTTAAAGTTTTTGTACGAGGTAAATGATAACAAATTGTCTATTGGTTTATAAAACGAACGATTTGAGCAAAAAACTCCATCAAATTTCATTTCCACTGCCAAAACTACTGCGGAAAACGTATTGGTTAATCGCTTTACGATGAGTTTCTAAGACCAAATCCACGTTTTAAACATGTTGCTATCTATTTTTTGTCAAAGATAATGATAGAGATGACGATATATTTTATACAGAGATTTTAGTCTCGGAAACCCATGATTAGTCGTATTAAAGAATTCTTCAATGAGAAGGCACGACTTAGGTCAGTTGGTATTTCGTATTACATTTTGATTAACCCAAAAAGAGGCTTGCAAATTCTGCTTCAAACGTATACCGTTGGTATGCCAATAGTGTGACAGTAACGCGTTTTCTCAGCACATCCATAACTGAATACCTGCAAAATAGTTGACAGAAGAGTTGCCACGGCCGGCGTGGGGCGACGGCGTAGTAGCGTGCAGCCGGAGAAATCCGATGCATATTTATGTTATCGCTTTCCAGCTCTCGATGCGACGATATATCGATGAAAATCGATTTATCCTTTAATCGATTTCCATCAACATTTTTCGGTTACCATAGTTTTCCACTGCCAGTATCATAGACTCATCATATAGATTTTATAAACAGGAACAGCATGTTTGTACGGTGTGGAACTATACAAAGTAACAAAATTTAATTATTACAATTCTAATAGATAAAATAGTTACTAATATTTATCTTAAAATTCCAAATTTTCTCGCTTTAAAGACAAAAGTTGAATAACGGGATTTGTATCCACGGCCGTCAGCGCGTTATTCGTACCATTAACTTTTAGGCTATTGGCGCTATACAACAGGAGCTGTAATCGTAACTTATGTTATATAATCTAACATAACATAGATAAATACTTACATTTAAGCTGCACGCGATGCAGGCGTGTCCTGTCAGTTATATACATGAAATAACATGTTTTATTACATACATACAAGGTATATAATATAAGATTTGTCGCCCGCAACTCTAAAACTCTTAAACTAAGTAAGTAGCCTATGCGTTTTCCAGGCTATAATATACATCTGTGACAAATTTCAACAAGATCCGTTGAGCCGTTCTGGAGATACCATCTAACAAACATCTATCCAACCATCCATCCCTCTAAACTTTCACATTTCAAACATAGAGTAATCATAGAGATATTAAATTGGATACTCTGATAGCACTCGATTCGCTTGGCACAGGACAGGAAAGGGTTCGCTGAGCTGACTGGCCGTCACCTCCACCTCCAGTAATGGAGAGGCATTAGAAGAAGAAGAAGAAGATAGCGCTAGACTAGACTTATTTGATGTCGAAATAAGTCTTAGTCCTTAGTCTAGCCTCTACTTAATCTAACTTTAGCCTAGCCTAAGGTAGAAAAAAGATGAACCAAACTTATAAGAAATAACTGAAAAACATTTCACGGTTATTATTGCAACAATACGTAGCATAAAAACAACAATAGCATTTTGTTTTGAGATTTTATTGAGGTCAGTTGTGGCCAGAGGTGCTCAAATCACGGCCCGCGATCCAATATAACAACTGCACTTTCAGATACATCTTAAGAAATACATTTTTTTTATATTTTCTTTAAATACGTCTTATTTTGTGTTTGGTATGATAAATCAATTTTACCGTAGTGCAGGAAACTGCCTAAAAGGCAAGATTTCAGTAAACGTTGATGACCTCTGGCTTGAGATCTCTTTCCATAAAAATGGTTGCAATTTTTGTCCTTATTTCCTTAACACTAAAGTCTAATTTCAAATACGCAATTTATTAAGACTTTGGACGCATGGTCAGGTGTAACCAACATCTGTGATCTGTAGTCAGCGTACAAGGGCATTGACAAGTAGAGTGTTACCGTATCTCGTCGCGCCAAGTTAGGCGTCTCGCTTATTTTGACCTACATTTATTGATATTCGAACCTTTTTTTTTATTTACAAAATAAGGCCCCTAAATCCCACGCCTTAACTTATTTTATACTTATCTGATCTTTTTAATATATGAATTACCACGTGACTCTAAAACTGATTGCTTGCTGATGCTGGTATTGACGGCTTTGTCGCATTGATCATGAAGATAGCAGCATCCCTGATGCGGCGGGTGCGGGACAGCGCCAACAGCTACCTACAACTCATTGCTGATAGAGTAGGATTGGACTGTCCAGTGCTGGCCGTGTGGACACGTCTGCATGTGATCTGAAGAGTTTTGTTTTATTTTGTGTTTTTAGTTTTGTTTTATTTTGTGTTTTTATTTTTGTGTCTGAATTTAAATTTGTATTTTTTGCTTTGTATGGACCATGTGTCTGAATAAAAAGATTTATTACTATTATTAAAACTACTGGTCAGATCTGGATTAAATTTGGAACAAAGATACATAAAGTTTTCAATAGACAATAGGCAGTTCTTCTCATCAGTATTTTAAATCATTTTTTTTAAAATTCCAAGCGGAATCTGCGTTTTAATCCTATAAGTTATGAACGTTGACCCTCTGATCGATGTAACTAAGGAAAGTAAAAGTGAATGAACTGTAACAGATTAGTTCCATGCAACGGACGGTCGCCGGCAGCAATAATCTGTGCCATTTCAAGATGGCGGATCGGAAATGGCAGAAATGGCGCCACAAAATTATAACGTTCGAATTTTAAAATATTCGACAGTGTTATCATCAAATAGATTAGTTCCCACGATTAATTTGTTTCCGTATTTTATTAATGATACATTAATTATTTATAATTAAGATAGCTTTCACTATCTCACACCAAAGATCTAAAGAAAATAGGGGATGTTTACAATTTCATATGATAATAATTTACATATGACAGCAGCGTTATAATTTGACAAATCCGTAGAATTACATCTCTTTTATGGGTTCTCTTAAAGAGAGTAACTTCGTCAGATGGAACACAACTAACATGTTAAAAGGCCAGATATAAAACCCGGATATGTGTACGCTAATCCTATGTATATAGTCTACATTCACAATTGTCCGTCAGTCACGCGAGAAAGTTATAAAAACACTTTTATAGCAAATTGTCCGAGATATTTTCACTGTAAATTACAGTATGAAGTAAACAAAAGTCTTTATATGCGAGCACTTATACTCACTTTCCACTGACGAACACAAACCTATTACTATCTCTGTTTTTTTTTACTAGAATTTAGTTTGTTTTTGCGCAAATTTTTCAGTAGCTGGAACATCCGATTAGGCAATACGCTAGTTAAAAAATCACGCATTAAAAATGTT